ATCTGTCATAGGAGAAGCTTTCTGGATCATATAAGGAGGTTACTCGTTCATCCGGTAGTGATTCAAAGGTACAATTGTAGTTGAGTGTAAAATCTACTCACACCATTGTTCTTCACCTATCTTGAATTCCTATTGGGGTTAATAACAAAGTAATGGGCAGTTTTCTTTTCTTTTTCCTGAAATTTTGGTGTGGAGCTTGAAGTGAAGCATGTGGATGAAGGGCTGAAGCATGTGCTGATATTTGCGTAATCTGGCTGGTATGCTTCCTGAAATAAGCTACGGAATGTGAATTCGCAGGCATGTATACAACCCTGTTTTAGCCATTGCTTATACTTGCTTACTATATTTATTATATTCTATTATAAAGCAAAATGTGTTATTTATTCCACCATAAATGGTTTTTGGCCGGTTCAACCGGTCGTTGACCGGTTCGCTAGCAACCGGTTCATTCCAGCGAACCGGACAGTTAGTTTAACTGGTTCCCGGTCTAACCGGTAGGACAGGCCGGTCCAATCCGGTTTTCTAAACCGTGTTTAGGACAGTTTAAGAGTTTGAGAGAGTAATATGAAGACCAGATGCGACACATCACTGAATATAATGTAAGCAATTTTCTAATCTTTTTGATGTCAAGTTTAGTTTATGTGGCTCCCATATTTATTTGCATTGTGGGAATCAGTCGAGAAACTCTATAATTAGCAATGTTCTGAAAACTGGACCGGACCGGCCGGTTCGACTGGTTCAACCGGGAACCGGTCATAATACTTCCCGGTCATAATACCAGTCTGGTTTGATGGTTTGAACCGTTGGGCAAATGAACCGGTTAAGAACCGGTCGAACTAGTAAAACTGGAGAACCGGCACCGGTTCATTCAGTTTGACGGTTTACGATTTTGGACATCGTTTTAAATACTTAACGCGTTTTTCATAAAGATGTTAAACGGGCTAGCCGTAGCGGTTTCAGGCTAGCCCTAACGGGCTTCAAGCTAAACGGTCCGGGCCTATAAAGCCCGAATTTAAACGGGCTATCAATAAACGAACCTAACCTTACCCATAGCGGGCTTCAGGCTAAACGGGCTATGCGGGTTATAATTATGATAATAATAATAATAATATCAAAATATTATAAAAAATAAAAAGAATAAAAAATATAGAAAAAATAACAACAGCTAGTTAACGATTGTTTTCAATGGTTATTTAATATTTACCTCTCTATATATACAACTACACATCATTGAACAACATTACAAACTCTTAAATAAAACGTTTTTTCAAAACAAAAAAATTATTCCAACTATTACATATAATTACCATTTTACTACTTATTTTTTTCACTTTAAGAATTTTTACTATAAATTCTATCACTATATTTCATGTGTTTCCTATTAGTCGTTTTGATTTGCTTAAATATTTTGGTGTGAAGTACAATAACAATATTGTTAATAATTGTCTTTCAAAATCATAATAATCCATTAAAGCTCATTCTTACATGACAAGTGGAATAATAAAATTGTAATATACAAGGAATCTAAGAGCATATTACTTACTTGATGCTAATATTTACACCGCCAAATCCTAGTTAAACGGGCCAGCCCTAGAGGGTTTCGGGCTAGCCCTAGCGGGATTCGGGCTAAACGGTATGGGTCTAAAAAGCCCTGATTTAAACGGGCTATCAATAAAGGGCCTTCACCCTGTTTTTTTCGGGGTAAACGGGTTAGCCCGTCTGGCCAAGGACCATTTAACATCTCTAGTTTTTCATGGCCCAAGCAGGCATGTGGTGGTACAGTAGTCAACAATCCATTTCTTGTGCATGAGGTTCCATGTTTGATCCTCCGAACGTGCTTTGTTTTTCCTCATTTTTGTCTTTTATAATAGGAATGCACCCTCATTTTTGTCTTTTATATTAGGTTTGTTTGGAATTCTTGAAGCCCATGAACTTTTGAATTTTAATCAAAACCAGAGCTCGAATTTAATTTTTAGTTTTTGACTCTTTACATAATGGAAAATGAAAAAAAATCTAATTTAAAAATTAAAATACAAATTATTACAATTTTGATTTTTAGTCTTTGACTCTTACATAATGAAAAATGAAAAAAAAAAAAATCTAATTTGAAAATTAAAATACAAATTAAATTACAAACTTGTAGCTTTAGTGTGTATATAAATTATAATTGTTTATGGTAAGTTATAAATACGATATTAATTATTGAAGTCTTATTTAGATAATGATAAAATTATATACGATTATATAATATACACATGTAAAAAAAATAAAATTATATGTGAATCAAACCGGTTCAACCACTGGTCGGACCAGTGAACTATTGAACCAACTTCACCGGATCGATGACCGGTTCGTTTTTCAGAACAATGATAATTAGGTATCCAACAAACTTATGTCCATATTACTTTTGCCTCTATTCCTCCCGTACCATAAAGTTTTTTTAATCTTTTTGATGTCAATTTTAGTTTATTGTATTTGTGGGTGTCAGTCGAGCAACTCTATAATTAGGAATCAAACAAACTTATGTCTATATTACTTTCCCTCTATTCCTCCCGTACCTTATGTCCATACATTCATTTGGTGTTGTCCACCTTTCTGATGTAGGAGTGTACGAGTAGGAGAAGATAAAAGAGATTTCTTTCTCAAATACGATATTCTTATTCAGAATCAAATCAACTAAAGAGAACGAGAAAAAGAAAAGGAATTCTTAAATAATACTTCTCACCTAGATTACTAGCTTGTCCAACATGACA